TTTTTTTTTTTTTAAATTTTTTTTTTATTTTGGCATATTATGGGGTAACAGATCACCGGCTCTGTTTTGCCCTCTGCGATAGTAAAACGCAAACAGGGACATTTCCTGTGATCCCACAAAGAAACGCCCAAAGGCTTGCCCCAGAGCTGCGGGCTGTGGCCTCATCACGCAACGCCCCTGTCGGAGGGGTCGGTGTGCTTTCACGCGTGGCGGCCGGGGCGCGGGGGGAAGGCCCTCGGAGCAGCGCCCGGAACCCCCAGCAAACCTGCTCCGATACAGCCGTGGCCCTGCGGGTCTGGGGCTGCACTGGGAGGGCTCCCTGGAGGAGCCGGGTGGCGGCGTCGCAGATACCACCTGGTTTCCCCTGGGGTCTCGGGGCAAAGGCCACCAGCCCTCCTTGGGGCCTACCTCGTCCTCACGGGCCAGGCCCACCCGTGCCGCCCCAGGGCCCATCCTGCAGGCCACTCCTCACGCCCCCGGGGAATGCCCTCTCTTGCCCATGATCCCGCCAGTGCGGTAAAGGCCAGTCGCCACACACCCCCACAGGACCCGCCCCCAGCGGCGCCCCGGCCGGGACTCACGTGCAGCGTGCCGGGGCCGCCCTCCAGCACCACGCAGACGATGGGGATCTTGATGGCCACGCCTAGACCAGGCACAGCGCGGTGAGGACGGGGCTCACCCTACACGGTGGGGGGCTCTTCCCTCCCGCAGCCCACGACGACCAGCCCGCTTTTCCCGGAACCTCCTCAGCGCCTCACTCCAGGCAGGGCAGGGCTTCGAGCCGGTGGACACAGGCACAGTGCGCAGTGGGGTGGGAGCCGGACACGGGACCTCCCTCCTCCGCCCTCCGGGCCCACATAGGGCTTTTGCCCAGCCCAGCCGCAAGGGGAACGTGAGCAGCCTTTCGCCTCCCTGTGCCCGACAGCAAAGCGCTTGCTCTCCGAGTGCCATCAACGGGCCCCTCACACTCACCTGCCCCCCAAGAGCCCCCTGGGTTCTCCCCGTCTAAGCAGGGCTCTCAGCGTGTACCGGGCACTTTCTGGAAGTGCAGCTCTCAGCCCAGCCAGGCCTGCTGAGCAGAGAGCCCCAGGGAGGGGGGGCAGCACCCTGGTGACACCCCCAGGGGACTCTGAGGCACCAGGAAGCTTGGGAGGACCCCACCCTGGGTGGGGTCAGAACCATCCCGCCATCTCCAGCCCGTCCTCAGCCCCTCCTCAAATCACGTGCACAGCCCTGCCTGTGTCCCCTGCCCACCCACCCCACCTGGAAGGGAAAGATGTCAGATTCCAAGATCTGGACCTAAGACCGAGTCTGTGGTCTGGCCCGTCAGCGGGGAGCACACGGTCCTTCCACCAGTTCAAGGGGGGCGAGAGAAGACGACCCCACGGAACAAAGTGCAAGGAGACGTGGGAGGGAAACACAGGAGCCATCCACGCACACCGCGAGCACCACACGCCTGCTGATCGTCCGGTCGCGGCCAGCCGTGTCCCTGACGCTCTGGCCCGCCCGCTGCCCCACCACCCCCAGCCCGCCACGTACCGCCTCGCTCCTTCGTCTGCTCCGAGATGAACTTCTCCAGCTTGGTCCTCAGAGGAATCTCGACACCGTACTGGCCGTGGGTCCCGTCATCCACGAGGATGAAGTGGGAGTGGTTGCTGTCCAGGCAGGTCAGGCTGCCCTGGCCCTCCTCGTCCAGGCTGTACTCGGCGGGGAAGCCGCCCTGGGAGGGGGGCGGACACAGACAGCGGGAAGTCGGCGTCTGCAACGCCAGCTGGCTCAATGACGCCCCCACCCCCACCCCAGACACTGCTCCCTAATCTCTGGACCCTGTGGCTGGTGCCCTATCTGGACAAAGGGTTATTGCAGATGTGATTAAGTTAAGAATCTCAACATGAGAAGGTCATCCAAACAGGCCCCAAATATCCTCACCGGTGTCCTTACAAGAGAGAAGTAGTGGGAGAGACACGGGAGAGGCCACGTGACCACGGGGGCAGAGACCAGAGTGACGCAGCCACGAGCCAAAGACGGAACTAGAGGCGGGAGGAGACATGGCCTCTCTGCAGCGACACCCCGATTTTGGCTGGATGACTTGATTTCAGAGTGCCGCCCTCCAGGAATGTGACTTAGGGTTTGCGATCATTTGTCACAGCAGCCACGGGTGTCGGGAAGGCTGCCATGACAGAGGCCTAAATGTGTGGCAGTGGCTTTGAAACTGGGGAGAAGACGGAAGAATCTGGAGGCACAAGATAGAAACGTCTCCGTGACCTGGAACAGACCGCGGCAGAAATGCAGGTGCAAAGCCGCTGCCGGCGAGGGCTCGGAAGGAAAGAGAGACCCGTTCCTGGAAGCGGGAGGAAGGAGGCAGAAAGCGGAGCTGGGCCACGGTCATGGCTCTGCGGAAAGCAGAACTGCAAACGGCGAACATGTAGCTCGGGGACTCCCAGGCAATGTGCTGACGTTGCGGCCTGGTGTTTTCCTTGCTGCTTACAGTAAAACGCAAAAGGAACGTGGTGAGTCGAGGGAAGGACTGGTGGCAAAAAGCAACCAGGACTTGACCACGTGGGAAACGTCGAGCCCATCCAGATTGCACGGGACGCTACGAGCCGAGAGGTTGCTGTCGGAAGAGCTTGCGGCAGAGACAGGGCCCAGGGCCCGTCTGCCAGCGGGGGAGGCACTGGGCGTGTGACTGGGGGCTCACGCGACCGTCTCAGCGAAGCCAGGAGCGGAGGTGGCATCGCCCAGGAGAGACCTGCGGAGGCCTTCCCGTCCACCTACAGGGTCACGGCCCTGCAACGTGCACGGGAGACCCACAGGCTTTTGCAAATGCTATGCCAACGGCAACCTGCAAACTTGGACTGAACAGGACAGAGACGGGACAACATGAAAGAAGGCTGTCAGACTCCCACAATTCTTCAAGCAGAAAGGAGACCAAGACCCTTCAAAGGACAGGAAGGGTCATCCCAGGGCAGAGCCGTGGGTGCAGAGGCGGAGGCCCACGCTGAGGCCGCAGGGAGGATTGCTCCCTGCTGTGTGACCGAACTGATTGTCCTGCTGCGTTCTGAAGTCACCTGGGACTGGCGACCCCCGTGTCCCTTCCTCACTGCCCCTCTGGGGCTGAGAACACCCGTGACTGTCCCATTCCGCCTGCTCCTCCTCTGTATGTTGGAAGCAGATAACTGGGGCTCTGGTGTCACAGGTGCACAGGTGAGAAATGTGTCCCAGGATGGATCCTACTACCCAGTGTCTCAGCGACCCTGAGCCAGATGGTTGAGACGAGCTTTGGGCCCCTGATCGGATGGTATTGACGTGAGATTTTGCAGTTTGCATTTACACTGCCACGGGTTGATCACCTGGGGCTCTGGGGATGCAGGGCGGATGAATACACTTCGCACGTGGGATGGATGTGGATCTTTGGGGACCACAGGGTGGATAATCGCCACCCAAAGACACCAAGTCCTGACCCCTGGAACTTGTAACTGCTACCTCATTCGGAAACGCATCTCTGCAGACGTAAGTCAAGGACCGTGATAGGAGGGGCTCACTCTAGATTATCTGAGCGGGCCCTGAATGCC